GCATCGAAATAGCCCAAAAGCCTTTTATAATAAGGTCTTTGGGCCCAAAAGCCTTAAAATATGAGTCCTTTGAGGGTAAGGGTAGGGCTTTGGGTTTAGGCTATATGGCCGGACTAATTCGTACTTGTACTTCCTTGTATTCCCCTAAATATTCAGAGTATACTACTCTCCAAAACCCCTGTTCTACTTAGTCAGCCCCTATGTAGACCCAGAGGGTCCGAGTACCCAAATAGTAAGGTTTTAGGTCCCCAAATCCATACTCTGAATGGTTTTTGGACCTTGAAACCCTACTATTTGGGTACTTGGACCCTTACCCTAAGGCTCAACAAAGCCCAAAAGCCTTGTATAGTATGGTCTTTGGGCCCAAAAGCCTTAAATTATGAGTCCTTAGAGCCTTAGGGTTAGGGAGAGGCTCTGGGTCGAATTGGCTTAGCCGGGAGATCTTGTGGCGTTGCCGGGTTTTGTCAAAATGTCACGGTTAAAGGCGGGGGGGCCTTTTGGGACTAGGGTTGGGTCCTTACCCTAAAAGGTCAAAATAGCCCGAAAGCCTTATATAGTATGGTTCTTTGGGCCCAAAAGCCTGAATGGGTCCTTACAGCCTCAGGGTTATAGTAAGGACCTCACCATGCCGCATCAGCCCTCTACAGCCTCTGAACAATGTGAACTGTAACCCCTACCCGAAACCCTAAAACGCCCCTAAGCCCCATAGGGGAAAAGGTCCAAGTACCCAAAAGACTTGCCTAGCATCATGGCGATATGGGTAGTTTTCTAAATTAGGGTCCTTTTTAGGGCCCGTATGATTAAGGGTGCCGTACTATATTGGGGACCCCAAAAGGGACCCTAATTTAGCTAACTACCCATATAGTGCTACCTCTTTATCATATTCAGGATAAAGGTCTCACGTGACACTTAGGGTTTAAGGTTCCCTAAGGCTCGAAGGACTCATATCTTAAGGCTCTTGGGCCCAAAGCCCAGTCTATATAAGGCCTTCGGGCTATCTTGAGCCTCAGAGGTTTAGGGATCACTTATGAGTAAGCAAGTTTAGGAGTTTAGGGCTTGCTTCCCCAAAAATCCACAGACATAAAAAGGCTAAACTTTCAGGCTGCTACTGTAAGAACCCCAAAACGCTGGAAAGTTGCGTATGGGGGAACTTTAGGGTCTAGGGTTTAGGGTTATTAACTAGCTAAGAAGTAACACGGTCAAGGAATTTAGTAGCATTCAGAAGTTTCTTCTGCTTGTCATCGCCGACAGCTCTTCCCTGCCACGGATTTTGTATCCTATAGCTCCGACCCCATCATGGCAGCATGCATGGAACCTCTGCGATTGCTCCATAAAGAGACAAACGGTGCAGGGTTTAGTTACAGTAACTGTATGGGCTCCCAGAAGGGATCGACAAGGGTACCATAGGATTAGGATTCTACTGCTTCCGCCAAGAACCCGAGGCACTTCCTGTGACCCCAAACCCTGCAACATAGTAGGCTATGACCCCTTAATTAGAAGGTAGTACCCCTAAAACGGTATTCGATTCCCCAAACCCTAAACCCTAAAACCCTCAAGCAGACGACACAAAGTCTCTCGCAAGATCCTCATATCCGAACGCAGGTGCCCACAACCGTAGTCCTACAATACCCCAAAAGCCCAAGGATAACTCATAATAAGGTAGGGGCCTTAATAATTAGAATAGGTTTTCTTTTTTGTTTTTTTTTGGGGGGGTTCTTATTATGATTATAGTAAGGTATACCCCCCCAGCCCCATTGAAAGTATTCGGGCCCCTATATTACAACACTATACCGCCCTGACTAAGCCCCAAACCTTCCCCCGACCAAACCTGAAGACTCCAACGTACCCTACAGTAAGCCCTATAAGCCCTAAACCCTTATAGCCTTAATCTCAAAGCCAGGACCCCAAACCCCAAAATCCTAAACCGTCAACGCGAATCCTAACCCCCAAACCCTATAAAACCTAAACCCTCTACCATAAAGCCTAAACCCTAAACCTAAATCTTTAACCCTCAACCCTGAACCCTAAACCCTAAACCTAAATTTTTAAGCCTAAACCCTAAACCCTATAAAACCTCGATCCTCAACCCTAGACCCGCAGAGCCGCCTGTGCCCAAGCCAACTTTCTTGCCCGTAAGGGGAGACAGCTGCGAACTCCCTGCGGCGCCAGAGACTTTCCCTAAGGGTCCATAGGGTCATAGGGGTGTAGGGTTCAGGGGTTTAGGGTTTAGGGGTTTAGGGGTTTAGGGGTTTAGGGTTCAGGGGTTTAGGGTTTAGGGTTTTAGGGGTTTAGGGTTCAGGTAGGGGTTTAGGGTTTACTTTTTGGGATTCATATTTAGAATCTGAGGTAATCCCAAAAAGGAACTACTATGGGGCCTATGGGTACCCATATCTCGTTGATGGAGGTTGCCCAAAGTGCGTTCAACTGCTGTCTGTTCCATATCCACGCTTTGCGAAGCCGGTTTCCGCACGTGTAGTCTGTCCAGAAACCGTAAAAAAATCTAAACCCTAAACCCTAAAACCACCACACTTGTAGTCTGTCAAGAAGTCCACGATCTTGTCCAGGCCTCTCTCCCCCACTCTTTTCGAAAGGACTCCTGGATGATGCACGGTTTAGCGCTTAGGGTGTAGGGCCTAGATCGAGTCTGATTCGGAACCCTGTCGACCCACCCCAGCGTCCATGTAGCCACATAGTATATATCAGACCATCCATCCATGTAGGACGCAATGGCGCGTAGCAGCAAACTCGGCATCTTGACGACGCTCGAAGCATCGAAATACCTCCATTGTATTCCATCCCACGCTTCTGGGAACCGCTGGCTGAGTTGATTTCTCCGAGCCATTGTCCCCATCCACCCCAAATGCATCAGCATCAGCGCAGCTTGCCCCGCTGGGAAAGGTCCCTCACCTTGGACGGGACGATGGTTGATTCTGATTGGTATCTGCGATCCAGCTACCTGCTGGATCGTCTTCACAGCCAATCTACCTACTGCTTTACGAAGCCGTTTGCTCTCGGTGCATGGCAGCCACACCACACGCACCGGACCAGTAGACAGCATGACGATCTGTGGAGCGAGTCTTCGCCTGACCTCGCGAATCACAGCCTCGCAGAGCTTGGGATTGGATTTCCCTTCGCATCCCTAAACCCCAAACCCTAAACCCTAAACCCTAAACCCTGCTGGAAACCAATCCCCAAGACCGAGAGCCTCACGTCCAGATAGCCTCAAAAAGTAAGGCCAAAATATATACTATCAATTCGGCACGTACATGGACCCTTAGGGCTAAACCCTAAACCCTAAACCCTAAACCCCTAAGCCCCTAAACCCCTAAACCCTAAACCCTAAACCCTAAGCAACGGAATGGAGCCTACATGAGTACATGGACCCTTAGGGAGCAACCCAGGCAGATGTCAACATTTGCAGCTCCCATGGTGTCTCCGCGCGGCCTTGCTCAAAGAAGCGTCAGGGTTTAGGGTTTAGGGTTTAGGGTTTAGGGATTTAGGGTTTAGGGTTTAGGCAGGGATTTCGAGTTGTTGGTTGGGGGGCAAGGGTCCATGTACCTATATAGGTACTTGTAAGGCCACAGTATATACTATGTTACTACTTGGGCACACTGACTCTTAGGGTTAGGGCTTGGCGGCTGTGGGGCTCTGGGCTTTTATATAGGCCTAAACCCTCAACCCTAAACCTAAAACCCTAAAGCCCTAAACCCCTAATCCTTAAACCCTAAACCCCTAAACCCCCAAACCTAAACCCAAAGCGTTTTAGAGTTTAGGCCAGGCGCTCGGGCCCAGCTCCTCAACGTATTCATCTTGCGCTTGAGCTTCGTCGCTTGATAGATTGCTCCGGTCCAACTGTTACTAGGGTTGATGGTATAAATCCTGCATTCCCATAACAAGGAAGATCCCATAATTCCCATAGTTTAGGGTCCTTGAGTCTTTCAGGTAACGCAGGATTTTTATCGTCAACAGAATCACACCTCCATAAACCCTAAACTCCAAACCCTAAGCCCTACATGGCGGCTACAGATTCCAAGAAATGAAGTGGACTTGACCTGACTATCCGGTTTAGGGTTTGGGGCTGGGAGACGACTCTGGTCCTTTTTTGGGGGGGTTTAGGGTTTAGGGTTTAGGGTTTAGGGTTTAGGGTTCTCTTGTACGGTAGTGTCAAATATGGGGTTCAGGGTTGAGGTTTTGGGCTTTGGGCTTTTCAGGGCTTCAGAAGCCTTGATGGGGGGATTCTGGGGCTGAGGGCTGAAGGAGGGCTTCTTAACATATACATGGGTAGTTGTCTAAATTAGGGTCCCTTTTGGGGTCCTTTTTATAAGGGTGCCGTACTACATTGGGGACCTAAAGAGGGACCCTAATGTAGAAACTACACACATGGCTGGGCTTGAGTTGGGTTTTCGGAGGTTCGTCCGCATCAGGATGGCCACACATGTACCTGTCCCTGAGGGTCCATGTGCCCAAACAGCATATACTTTGGCCTCAAAGTAATCAAACAGGGAATACTTTAAGGCCAAAGTATTTACTATTTGGGCACATGGACCCTTAGGGTGTTGTAGTTGGAAAAGAGTAAGCAAAGCACACTGGAAGCGATAGAAAGTATCACAAGTAAACTGCTCCCTGCGCCAGCGCCACAGAACATCGTAGACTTGAAGGCAGTAGTTGACGAGGAAGCTGACCCAAGAAAACATACACCAGAGATGCGTGTGCCTGAACCCTAAACCAAATACCATAGTGGGGGTACTGATGCGCCCGCCATTCAGGCACCTCGAGACATCCAATCATGCAAACTCTGTAGCTTGTGAGAATCCATGCTCCACAGTACGGGTTTAGGGTTTTGGGGTGCTCCCTTCCCGTGTAGTTCCGACTTCGCCACGCGAGGCTCTTCATCGCAACTCGCAAGTGCGACCTCAGATGCGTGAAGCTGTTGCTTCACGCTGGCGCAGAGACTGGGCTCCAGCCGGGTTGTTTCATAGCGTGTTAGAGGGTCTTTTGTAAGGAGACGAAAATCGACATAAGCACAAGCACTCTAGTAGGGATGCCAGTAGGGAGCACTAAGCACGAACCTATTCCGAGGTTTAGTTTAAAGGTTTAATCTTGCATGAGCTAAATTCAGTTAGATAGTGCCCTTTCTGTACTACGAAACCTGAGCCGGAGTTCCATACAACACGATCTCAGGAGAAGGATTTAAGTGCAGAAGGCAGCCCAACACCTATGCAGATTGCAACTCGGCTTTATAGGGTTTAGGGTTTAGGGGGTTCGGGTTTAGGGACTCGGCTGTAGGACCGCGGCCACAAACTTGCTTGGATTGCCAACTGCTAATGGGAGTGATGCATTCGCCTTGGGAGCTGACACACAAGGGTGGGGGGCAGCTAGTAGGAGAGAGTCGCGTCCGGTCGCATAGTTTCAAGGACCGCTGGCTGCAGGGCTTGTTTGTTGTATTGTGGTCACTGGTTCCCGGCTACTACAAGTTGAAGTGTTTTGGCACGTTGCCTTTGATGGGAAACCATTGAAACCTTCCATTCTTTGGTGGGTTCTAACCCTCTGCACTGAACAGCATTGTCAGTAGTCTTGATGTGTATACCGTCAGGTCGTGCCAAGATACCATGTCTCTTCTTGTTGCTGTTCATGCTCTCGTTATGTTTCGGGTCATGGTATGACCACGCCTGCTGGTATGGCCACGCCTCAGCCGTAACACTCTATATGCATTGGGTACTGCCCCCACTCAGTAACAGTCGGATAATATTCATATTATGGATATATTAGGCCCTTAATAGTAGCCCTATTATAGACTGTTACTGTATGGGGGCAGTACCCAATATATGCACCTTAAACCCCCAAGCCCAAGCACGCATGCCTAATACACAACTCGCCAAACCCGAAACCCCAGCCGTGATAGCTCTGCTGCATCACTCTGAATGCATAAGAAATGGTCATCGAAATCTCTCTCTCTCTCTCTCTCTCTCTAGATATATATATATATATATAATGTATACATATATATATATATACACACAAATACATTTGTATTTGTCATTGGTTTGGTCTTGTTATTGCTCCCCCTGGACTTCTTATTATTGCTAGTGCGTACTGTTACCTGTTACCATCACTCCTTTGGTTGCTGTTGCTATCCGATCTTGCGAATGCTTCTACTGTTACCATTGCCATTAAGATGGGTGTGACTATGAGTATGGGCGTGACTATGATTTTGTTTAGGAATATCTTCAACTGCCATTGTCTGGTAGTTGTTACTCCCTTGTTTGTCTTTGTTGTTACTATGAATGCTAACACTGTTGTTGGTACTAGTATGCGTATCGGTATTATTATCAGTATTATTATGTTTTGATTTAATTCTCAGTGCTAGGCGGTCATTCGTAAAGGCTTACACAGGTATAGTTACTAGATACATAGCTTTAATATTAAGTACTATCAAAAAGTCCTGTCATTATCATAGTAATATTAATTGCTACCATTGAGGTTATTAGTTTGATGATGTTTGTGGGTAGTATTGTATGTAGTAATGTGATTTTGTTATGATGGTTATTGTTGCTACTATTATTGCAGTTCTTCTTGTGCCTATCGCTATGATTATGACTATGATTACCCTCATTACTGTTCTTACCCTAACCCACCAGGTACCTACTATATGGGGTACCAGAGCCCCTAAGGCCCTAAATAGTAGGTACCTGGGGGGTTAGGGTTAGTGTGTGTGTGTGTGTCGAACTTGCTGCCCGTCGACCTGTCAGTTGTCGTGTATGTGCTTTTTCGCTTAGGGTTTAGGGTTCAGGGTTTAGGGGCACCTTATCTACAGTGGTTCTTAGAATGGGATCTGGATATCAACAGGCATCTTACGGTGTAGGGACCAGTTTCCGGAAGCCACTATGCTATCATGATTGCACGTGCTGTTTGCTTGTGCTGGTGGAGTGCCCCAGCGCCGGGGAATTACGTACCGGATCCTAGACACCCCAAACCCGAAGCCGAGCCCCAAAGCCTGTCTAAGATCTCATGCAGGCGACGGGGCGGGTTGCCGAGTTCATGCAGAATTTCCATCCTGCCGTCCCAAGCGCCGGCCGCCAGGAGACACATGCAGATGAGCAGCGCGTGCCGGAAAAATGAGAGTATGGTTGGTTTTGATCGCATGGGAGCCTGTCTTAACGGATTTTAATCTAGGAGAGAGAGAGTATCTGGAGCAGGCCAATACCACTCCATGCAAGCAGTGCAGAGAAGAAGGAACGAAGTCCCTCGAGCCAGTGAGACGAGCCTTCTAAGAATTAGGGATTAGGGACGAAGTCGTAAGGGTTTTGGAGTTCACGACCCTTTTGATAGTACGCACGTGATTGCAGACTTGTTTGGTGGATGAGTGTGTCACTGATTCCATGCTACTCCGAGAGTCATGGGTCATACTTCCAAAAGGCCATGTAGAGACCCGCTTATGTTGCATCTGCTGTTGACGGTGTAGGGCTTATGAGGTTTCGACGCACATCAAGAGTGTCCCTTTACCTGCCAGCGGAAATTCGGGCTTGAACCCTAAAACCTTAACCCCTAAACCCCTTCATAAAGGCTTGGCCTCGTTAGTTCACAGCTTGCAACTGTGATGGTTCTCAGCATGAAGGTTACCATGGCTTTCAGTGCCTGTATCACTCAGACTCTTCCTATCCCCTTTAAGGGAACTATAGGGTTCTAAACTAGGGTCCCCCTTAAGGGAGCTATAGGGTTCTATTATAATGGTTCTACAGCAGCCTGCCGCAGTGTCTGCGTTGCACGGCTGCTGTTGCCGCTGATACTGCTGCTGATACTGCTGCTGCTGCTGCTGCTGCTGCTGCTGCTGCTGCTGCTGCTGCTGCTGCTGCTGCTGCTGCTGCTGCTGCGCTTATCGCCCTTACTCCCGCGTGCTGATTGAGCTTGGCATTTCGAGTCTCCTGTTTAAGTTTTCCGAGCTAATGACGGCTAACGAGAACAATAGGGTACATGTTTCGGAGGACTTAGTGTTAGAGACTTGCACCCTGACGCGTATAATTAGCGAACTGGCATGGCAAGCACGCGGAACTGCGCGCTCTGCTAAGACAGTCCTGTAGGAGCATCAAGCATGCATGCATCTTCTTATGTAGCAATATACCTGAGCATGTGAAGTCTAAGGAAGTCTTGCATTTTAAGACCTTGGCGACTGCTACAATGAACTTGCGACGTGGAGGAACCACAATACAATGAGTCCTAAGCGCATCTAAACGCTGAATTTGGGTTCTCCGTTCCGAAGCGATGGCTCTTGAGGTCGGCACTATCATCGCAGTTTGACATCCAGCTGGAAGGGGTCTTCGACTCCCAGGCCGCAAGCGGTACCAGGCTGTTTGCTGCCAGAGTTTAGGATGTTGGGCTTCTGGTGTAGGGCCGTTGTCCGTTTTAGGGTTTAGGCATTTAGGGTTTAGGGGTTTAGGGGTTCAGGGTTTAGGGTTTGTCCGTGCCCCGTTCTCTAATGACACCATCCAGCCACAAAGTGCTGCAAGGTCTGCACCCTGCCACGGCCTTTTGCATTTTCATGCTCAGCCCTGCAATGAATGCATCTTCGCACGAAGCTTTGTAGCCTTCTGCAGGAATCCTCTATGTTATGCATGACGGGAACCAGCCATTCACCAAAGAGCTCTCAACCATGAAGACACGTCCCCCAGCAGCTTCAAACTCCGAGTATGCACGGCGGGTTGGCGCCCGCCTTCGCGCAGTCTTTAGAATCGGGAACTCGTGCCCGCCATGGCGTGCTGCCATTGGAAACTGTTGATACTTTGCCCGCATCTTGGCTGCAGCAGTCGACAGAAGTGGTCCCATGTATGATTAAGGGTCCTAGTCCTACTGTTGATGATATAAATCCTGCATTACCTTAAGGACCCTAAACTATGGGAATTGCGCTACATTCCTCATTATGGGTAATGCAGATTTATCTCATTAACCGTAGTCCTGGTGCCAACTTGGAGAACTGCGCCTTGACACCGTTGCTGCTGGTACAACTGCTCTCTTGTCATCCTTCCCATAAAGCCGGCTTATCAGTTTTGTTCTGCCACACTCGCTCATATGATTGTGAGCTTGCTATCGCCTCTGCTTCCGGTCCTGCTTTGCTTTATCCATACTTGCCCCCCCCCCCACCACTGTCAGAAGTGTTAGCAACTTCTGCGATTGTCTAGCGGTTTTGTGGCGACTATTACGACCTGCACCTCTCTTGCTCTTACTGCTTTAGCCAAGGTGTTGATGAGTGACATGCGCATGAAAGCCGTGATGCTTTGGAGTAGGCAGGCTACAATCCAACGAGGGCCGTGTTCCCGTCATGCTCAGCTCCTGTCTCAACCCCAAATCCTGAAACCCTACTTGGAGGTTCATGGGTAGTTATGGTGGGGTTATCAGTAGGGTAAGCATAGTTATAACCCATATAAGGGGATTTAGGAAGCCTTACTTGTAACTACCCATGAACCCCCAAGCAAACCCGTAAACCGAGCATGCCTAAACCCCGACACAGCACTTCGCCCATCCGCAATCCGTGGCCTGACCACAATTCCGCCGTGCGATAGATATATGCACTCGTGCGTACATAGCGAAATGGATGTATGAGAGAGAGCGAGAAAGAGTGCGAGTCTAAGTTGCATGCGAATATAGAAGACACATTCAAACAAGGAGCAAGCCTTTGATCAACATCAATGTTCACATTCAGAAACACATGCAGAAGATCAAGCACACGAAGCATCTCGCGTATGTCAGCGTTTACACATATAGATATGTGTACATGTGTATATCGGTGTACTTCCATACATATACATGTATACATATACATATATATATATATGCACAGGTGCATATCCAGATACACATAGACATACATCTATACATGTTCATGTGCATCAAATACATACACATGCATACGTACACATACATACATACATCCGTACGTACATACACGCTCGTGTTCTGTGTGGAGGGGTTAAAGCTTTGGACTTGGTCCCATTCAGGCTTGTAGCGGCACTGCCGTCCCTGCGCCTGCGGCGGCGTGAGACAGGGGAGCTGCTTGGCCATATTAAAGGGTTTAGGGTTCAGCGCTTATGGTTTATAGGCTTTAGGGCTTTGCGGCTTTGAGTTTGGGTTTGGTTTAGCATATAGGATATTGTAGGGATTAGGGTTTAGGGCTGAGTTTTGGGCCCTAAAGTTTTGGGGTTGTGGTTTTGGGAGTTTGGCATTTGGAGCTGGGGTTTTAGTCAGGAATTTGAGTTTTGAGTTTGTGGTTCTTGGTTTTTGAAATGAGGCTGATGGTTTGAAGTGTTGCAGGCTCTGGCTGCCCAATGCAACAACCAGAGAGACATCAGTACTGCAGAGAGTCGTAATGATAGCAGCAGCTGGGAATGCGAGCCATAGTAGTATACATCACTAGTAGCTGCAACACCCTAAACCCTAAACCATAGCTCTAGAACGGGAGTGGTACGGAAACGGGCCTTGCGTTCGATGCAGGGCTGCACCTGCGACAGTACAGGTAGAACTTTATAGGATCCTTTCGGGCCGAGGTAAGTACCAATACTATTTTGAGTTTCCTTATTAAACAAGGTTTAGGTTTTTGGGGTTTAGGGTTTAGGGTATAATATACCCCAAAACCCAAGCTCTCTGCCAAAATCCGGTGGGACTCTAGGTCCACGGGTTTCAGGGCTTAGGGTTTGGGTTTCAGGGTTTAGGATTATAGGGCTTAAGGTTTGGTTTTGAAAGGTTTAGGGTTTTTGGTTTGGGGTTTAGGGTTTAGGCTGGTTCTTGACGGGGCTGCTCGTTTTTTTCAACAGTAACAGCAGCAAGCACTACCCGTTGTGGCAGCAGTAGTAGCAGCAGTAGCAGCAGCTGCAGCAGCAAAAGCAGTAGCAGCAGAAGCAGTAGGACGTAGCAGTAGCAGTCGTTGTCGTAGTAGTGCTTTTAAACTTTTGTTGTTGTCGTGGAGGTGGTAAGTAGTACGTAGTAGGAGTAGTAGTTTGCGTTTGTTTATCATGTTATAGTAGTAGCATAGTCCTACGTCTTCCACACCCCTAGTGGCAAGAGTAGTAACGGAGCCTCAGACGTTTGTGACGGTTCTTGTATCATCCGGGGGCCTGGTCGACACGGTGAGTTCGTAGGGGTATACCTGCTTACGGCAATATCTGCATTTTCCCCTAAACCCTAAACCTAAACCGTTAAACCCCAAACCCCAAACCCCAAACCCTAAACCCTAAACCAGGGTTTAGGGTTTAGTCTTTAAGAGTTCCAGGTTTAAGCTTTATGGGTTGAGGTTTTTAGGGTTTGGGGTTTAGGGTTTAGGGTGAGTTCTTCAGGCTCCAATACGAACTTTCTACGAAACCCTAGCCTAACCCTAAACCCTA